ACGCACACACTTATTTTTGGTTGCCATCTAACTTGCTCCATTTGTAAGCCCTCCTTTAAACACTGCAAGACACTTCTAAGACCCATACTCAGAGGATGGGATGAGGACATACCAATGAGGTGGGAAGAGGCATGGAAAGGCATGCCCCTGCACCCGTGCCTCAGTCAGCCTTCGTAAAAACAATTGGAGATCTTCCTTGGATTGAATACAATGGCAAGAGAGGTACCACCACCCCCACCTCAGTGAAAAGAGGAATTAAAGCGCCCCCTCCCCAAAAAACAAGTCCTGGAGAAATACAAAACCCAGGAAAGCAGCAACAGCATGAATTGTCCCGGTAACCAACATGAGTGTGCTTGGTGATTGATCCCCATTCCCTGTATTTCTCTGAAGAATGAAGGAAAATTTTTTTCATCTGATATATTCCTTTTTTTTTCCAGATACAGCATACGTCATATACTTCAGTCATCCCTGATCCCATCCATTCTTTTTTATTTTTTTTATTTTTTTTAACCTTTATTTATTTTTGAGACAGAGAGAGACAGAGCATGAACGGGGGAGGGGCAGAGAAAGAGGGAGACACAGAACCGGAAGCAGGCTCCAGGCTCCGAGCCATCAGCCCAGAGCCCGGCGCGGGGCTCGAACTCACGGACCGTGAGATCGTGACCTGAGCTGAAGTCGGACGCTTAACCGACTGAGCCACCCAGGCGCCCCAATCCCATCCATTCTTAACACCTCCGCCACTTAACAACTCTTCAAAACAAATATATTTTGGAGGTAGAGCTGGTAGAACTTGCTGATAGATGACATAGAGATATTGAGGGAAAGGCAGGAGTCAAGAATGACTTCAAGCATGTGGGCCTCAGCAAGTAGCCATGGTGATATCATCTACTGAGATGTAGAGGGAGGAATAAGTATTGATGCCTGAATTATGTGATTTATCGAGCTTATTACTGCTTTATTTTCTGGCTTTGCTACTAGAATATAAGCTTCATGAAAACAGGGACTTCGTCTTTTTTTCTTTTTGCCCCATGGACTAGAATAATGCTTGTAATAATGATGACACTCAGTAAACATATGTTGAATGAATACACCATGGGAATGAAAGGTAAGTCCAATAGCAGTGAGGGAGACAGATGGGCTTGGGATGGGGGAATATGGTTCAGTTTGGGAAATGTTAAGTTCAAGGATCCCTGGAACCGTTGGGATGAAAACATCATATAGGTTGTTGGATGTTGGAGCTTGGCGCTTAGGAAGGGGGTCAAGGCTGAAGAGGAAAATGTCAGGGTCATCAGCATCCTGTTGGTACTCAACACCGTGCAACTGATGAGGTCACCTAGGATGAGGTCTCTTTGGAGATGAGAGGGAAAATCCCTGAGGGCCACCAATACTTAGAGATCTAGGAGAGCATGAGGAGTCATCAAAGGAGTTCATGATTATGTAGGGGCTAATAGATGGTACTGTCTCCAAAACCAGGAGAGGGAAGGGTTTTAAGAAGGAAGAATCACACAGCTGTGTCACATTCTGCTGAGAAGATGCACGAGGTGGCGTTGTTTCTGCATCTTCCATGGAATCACAAGCTCACCGAGAGCCATGATTCTGTTGTTGGGTCACTCTATGCCCCAGATCATGCCATCCCTGCCCATGTTGTGATAAGGTGCACTAGGGAGGCTGATGTACAGAGTACAAAGGGCTGCCTCAGGGAAACACGAGAGAGGTGTGGGTCTTGGTCCCAGCTGACAACACTGGCTACCTTTGATGGGGAGGGCTGGGCAGATGGCAGATTATTTTCCAGTTAGTATTCATAGTTCTATATTATACTTATACTATGTCCATTTCACACGCTTCCCAAAGCCAGGGTGTTGGTCAATACTAGAGAAAAATACACCTTACAGTGTGGGGGTTAAGAGGATGGACTTTGGATTTGGACAGACCTGAATTTGATTCCTGATGCTGCTAACTGACAACGAAGTCTCATCTTTCTGCGTCTCAGTTACTATCAGATTGGGTTAGAAAAAAATCACCATTGTCCCTTTAAATACCGCATCCTATGATCATGGGGTTCTCTGAGGGCACAATGCAAAAGGGGTGAGTTTCTGAGGACTTCAACCCATGCTTGACAATTAGTCAATACCCAAAGGTGTATCCTGTCTGTCACCAAACTGTCTGTCACCCAGTTGCCTTCCCAAAGTCTGTGCCAAGACAGACAAATTTTTGCTCCTGTCGCTCGCATGACTACTGGGACCAGGGGACCAAGCATGGCCTCATAGTTGTTGCTTGCTTGACGGGTGTTAAGCAGTGCATAAGCTGATGGTGTAGAGGCCAGGCATTTCATTCCTGGTGGCCCAATGCTGAGTCACTGGAGGGGGTGGCTGGGGGAGCAGCATTCCAGAGTCGTCTGCCCTTTTCTGGAAAGACTCTGATATAAACGCATCTGTTTGTTAGGAATGATGACCATATCGCCTTGTCATACATTTTAAGGGAGGACAGACAAGTTTGGTCTGGAGTGGAAGGGGCCCGGGGGAGCATCACAACTGCCTGTGGTGTTCCCAATCTACTGAAGGACATCACATATGTTCTCTCCAAGGTACGGGCTGTGAAATGGAAGGGGAGTTGTGCCCCTACTGCTCCAGAGAATGAATGAGGATAGAAGTCACCAGGGAGGTTAGTTTCAGCTTCGCATGAGAGACAAGACAGCAGAGTAGCTGAGAGAATGAACTTTGGAGTCGACAGGTTATACGATCTTAGGCATGCAATTTGACTTCCCTCACATAGATTTTATCGTATATAAAATAGGGAACAAGTATTTAAGGTGTTGAGCATTGTGTCCAGGCCATATTCTCTTTGGTTTCACTAGGATTAGAAAAAGAATTTCAACAGAGTGCTCCAATAGTGGGCAAGGACCGCTGTTCAGGGAACCAGCCTGTGAGCCTGGAGGGAATGGGTGAAGGACCGTCTGATGAAGAAGAGAGATCTCAGCATAGAGGCAGGCTCTGTCTCAGTTTGGGACCCAAAGTCTAAGCAATGATTCTTAAATTTTTTTTTTTTCAACATTTATTTTTTTGGGACAGAGAGAGACAGAGCATGAACGGGGGAGGGGCAGAGAGGGAGGGAGACACAGAATCGGAAACAGGCTCCAGGCTCTGAGCCATCAGCCCAGAGCCTGACGCGGGGCTCGAACTCACGGACCGCGAGATCGTGACCTGGCTGAAGTCGGACGCTTAACCGACTATGCCACCCAGGCACCCCTAAGCAATGATTCTATACGTAGCTCATCAGGTCCCCTCTGATTCTGACTTCCAAAATGGAAGTCCAGCTTTGCTTTGCTTTCCTAAAAAGGGCAAGTGAGCTGAAAAATACACCAGAAGTACGAGACGTTCTTCTACATGGATTCTCAGGGCAGCAGTTTCCAAGGAATCTGAAGGGGAAAAGCCAAGAGCAGAATGCACTGTCTGTAGGAACATACCTGCCTTAGGCTGAGCGAGGGGGAGCCTCCTGATGCAGTTGTCTGTACTACTGAGTGTCTTGTGACTGTCACTATGGCAACCCATGGCTGAGAGGCCCTGGCTGCCAGATCACAGATGGGCACAGTTAACCTCTCCCTCACCAGTGGCCGAAGACCCAGACACCCCGATAGATGCAAAACCTTGGTCTCCACGCCTTCTGAAATAAAGTATCTGAGGAGATACCACAGCCTGTTTAACACACACACACACACACACACACACACACACACACACCCTCTTTTGTTATAGCAGCAGAACCTGTTCTTTGTATATGGAAGCACGTGAAATAGGACAGTTGTCTTAGCTGTTCTGGTCAAGGACAGGATGGAGAGATTGCACATCTTCCCTCCTCTGAGATAGTTCACAAGGTATTTCTTAAAAAAATTTTTTTACATGTTTATTCACTTTTGAGAGAGAGAGACAGAGCGTGAGGGGGAGAGGAGCAGAGAGAAAGGGAGACACAGAGTCTAAGGCAGGGTCCAGGCTCTGAGCCATCAGCACAGAGCCCAACGTAAGGCTCGAACTCACAGACCATGAGATCATGACCTGAGCTGAAGTTGGACGCTTAACCGACTGAGCCACCAAGTCGCCCCATTCACAAGGGATTTCTGGAGGACAGGAGGGCTCCAAGACCCCATAAGGAATTATGTTTGAAATCCCATTGGTCTATAGTCTAAGTGTTGTAGGACTTGGAAGAAGAAGACTCCTGAAGACTGGAGAAGTCAAGGGAGGCTTCATGGAAGAAGTAGGATCTGAATTGGTCCTCGAAGGATGGATAGGAGGTGGTAGACAAGATTTCCAAGGCACTGTGTCTGATGGGTCTTCAGAAAGTTCTTTACCCTGGACTTCCACATCGACTTCCTGTGTCCAGATCATTCTCATTTTCTCCTTGACCCCTCACTCTGTCTCCACTCCTGCTTTAAGGTGATGCTCTTCTGAGCTTCTCTGACAGCTAAGGAGGAGAGAGCCTCCATCTAAATCATTCATTCATTTAACACATATTCTTTGAGCACCATCTGTGTGTGACAAGTCTGTGTGAGAGAAGCAGAAAGCAAAACTCGGCCTTCAAGGACTGTCAGCCTATCAGACGACCCACTCAGGGAAGCACCAGGGTGAGAAAGAGCACATACACATATTTATTAAAAATCGCACTTTTGTGTCTATAAGAATAACATACATTCATGGTGAAAAAGAGTTAAATGATGAAAGAACTAATATTACCATTCAAAAAAATTGTATATATTATTCGTATATAAATATTATAGATTTACTTTTGAAAGGATATTGTACTTTTTTAATGTTTATTTGTTTTGAGAGAGAGAGAAAGAGCATGTACATGTGGGGGAGGGGCGCAGAGAGAGAGAGGGAGAGAGAGAATCCCAAGCAGGCTCCCCACTGCGAGTGCAGAGCCTGATGTGGGGCTTTATCCCACAAACCATGAAATCATGACCTGAACCGAAACCAAGAGTCGGATGCTTAACCAACTGAGCCCCCAGTGCTCCTATCTAGATTTATTCTTTACATCTAATGCATATTGCAGAAAACAGCAAAAACTCTGTGGCTTAACTCAACAAAAATCTGTTGTCTGTGCCGCAAGCCCCACTGTTTCGGGAGGTGGTTTGTTCCACATAACCACTCCACACTATTTATTATGCCTCTATCTGAACATAATGCTTTAGGTTTTTTGAGAGGAGGAGAAAGCAATGGAAAATTGGCCACTGGCAGTTAAATGCTCCGCACCTTTATGGAAGTTACACTGGCTCACATTTCCTAGGCCAAAGGTAGTCTTGTATCTGATTTAACATCAAAGTTGGCAGGGAAATACAATCCTTCCTTGTGTCTGAAAGGGGAGGGGGCCCCATACTGGTAAGCAGACTGCCACGCAGAGTGTTCCAACACGTACATGTGCCATATTTGTCCTACCGATTCCCCTGCCCTTGAAAGAGCTGATGATATAGTTCACAGTCTGTGCCAAACCTTAGGGCAGACGTGATACGAGAGGCCACTTGGGTCTGAAATGCCAGAATTGAAACCAGGATCCATAACCCAGGATGGGAAAGCTGGAGTGTTCCCAGAAGTAACAGAGTTCTCAGCTATAGCCACACATTCAGGAAGCTGTGCAGGTACAGTGTATTACCAAGAGGTAATTTCACCATCAGGTGACCATGAACTCAACCAGAGTAGAGGTGGTCCCAAACAGACTTGTCTATTGAGTCTCATTTCAGTCCCTAGGGTCTTCACAGAAGGATGTCAGGGGTCCCTTCCTTCCCTGATCTCTCCCAGCTTCTTTTTCTTTCCTCCCTAAATGATCTCCTTACTTTTTGTACACCTCTACTTCTCTTTCCCTAACAGTGTCCCACTCCATCCTGGAGACAAGTCCTGAACATTTCCCCCAAGACAGTCTTGAAGTGTCATGAGCTGTTCTTACGACACATAAGCCCATTGTAGAAGGACTTAGATATTTTTGATTCTTTATAAAATGGAGCACCTTCACCCTTCCTCTTGCTGCATTTCCCCACTCATGAGAAGGCACAGAGGGCATTGTTAAGCGGCACCTGAAAACGGAACTTTCCAGGCTCTTGGATCCAAATCAGAACACAGGTGTTGAGTATGGAAGAGTCACTTCAAAAATCGGATTCCATGGATATGTGATCAGTAGTTAAAGGGTTAAAGTCGCATTCGAAAGAAAGGTGACCCTCCTTCTCCTTGCTAATGTAATTGGCCAGAGTCCAAGCCATTGGCCAAGCCATACATGAGTGGGGCCACCTGATTTGAAAAAGGTAAGTAATAATCTCTCTCCTCTCCCGCCAACCCCTCCCATGGGGTAGGATTGATGCATGAACTCGGAGCCTGCCTCGTCAGGCCAGGACTGCCAAGTCTCTCCTTCATCCTACACAAGTGAATGCACTCATCATTGCCATGTTTAAGGGGGCTAAGACCCCAGGACTTGGATTCTGGCTTTAGGAGGAGATAGAAACCCAATTTGGGCTTCAAGTTAAATTTTATAATCTAGTTCTGCTCTTTCTGAGAGCTGTACATTGAGGCGTTGAATACAAATGGGATTTTTGTGCCCCATATCACTTCTCTTTGTGTGTACCTCTTTTGGGGAAAAGGCGATGGGTCAGAAGATCGGAATTTGGGCAGGGCACAGACCCTTAGCCAGAACAACATTAAAATCTACTCTTGACCTAACAACGTGCTGTTTGGAGATGGGTGAAGGCATCACAGAAGAGGGCATTGAAGCTGAGTCTTGAAGGATGAATGGAAATCTGACAGGCAGATAAGGGTACTTCTGCCTTAGGTTACCTGAACGGTGCGGAGGAGGGGAGTACCTGGACCAAAGTTGCTCAGGAGCTTTCCTACAGCCACAAAGGCAGACTCTGCTTCTTTGATGTTCTCACCATCTAATTTGAGTTGTCTAAGTGATGGATGGGCTGGAAGGGTTGTTTCTCGGCGGGTAAAGGATTCTGCGTCTGCTGGATCGGCATGTTTTTGGCAGGCTGTCTATCTTGATTTGTTGCTTTGAAGGGCCATTGCTCAGAAAGCCTTTGTTATCAGCAGAGCCTGGGGCTGCTGGGTCATGTCTGTTTCTGTGCTCTAGCTGGCATGCCATGCTTTGTTATCTTTATTATCCAGCCTTTAGTAACTCCAAGCCTGGAGGAAGGACGGATCCAGCTTTCTGCTGGGCAACTCTGTGCATTTGGTGTTTGGTGAGCTGGAGATGCTGAGATGGGTTGGGAATCTTTGTGTTCGCTGCCAGGGACTTGGTGAGTAACCTGTGAACTCAGGGGGAGAATGAGGCACTTTATGGAGACAATAGTGATGGTAAGTAGGGTCGCCATGGATTGTACTCCACTTATGCAGCAAACATTTACCAAGCTCCTATTTTACTCCAGGTGCTGGACACAGGTAAGATATGGCACCTACTCTCCCCAGGAATAAACCCATGAACACAGCATGTGAATGTGCTGTGTCACAGGGAAGCTCGGAGGCCCCTTGGAGCATGGAGAAGGGTTTCTGCCTTAGCCTATGGTATGACAGGGTCAAGGAAGACTCAACCTCTAAGCACTTAACACGCCAGATATGATCGTCATGAGGATCACCCAATGACTATTTCAAGGATGCATCAACACTGTGTAGATGGTAAAGAAAAAAAGATGAACAGAGTTATCTTTATTGTTGCTCTCTATGTCCACAGCCCAACAGAATCCTTCAAACAACTGTGGTACCTAAAGGTTTGACTCAGGTTGCCTGTGATGTGGGTTCACAGCATTGCTTCCCCTTTCTAGACGCTTTCCTCCCAATCTTCTTCTTTACTCCTCCCCAAACCATATTTTTGTCAACAACAACCTTGACCTAGCTTCATCTAGAAACCTCTTCTGAGCCTGATGCGTTCAAGGTCCCCTGCCCACCCCACCCCCCCACACTGGGTTCCAAACGACTACACCTTCCAACCGCACTTTAGGAAGAGATGGCGGGCCAGGAGGAAGGGGATCTTCCCAGGCAGTTCAGAGGCCCGCTACAACTAACATGGCTTTCAATCATTCCTGATGTTGTCCTCAATTTGTTTTGTAAACGGGAATCTTATCTTTCCCACTCTATCACAATCTACTCGAGGGCAAGGCCAATGCCCTTGGATGCTTTTCTTTGCTCTACGTTGGCTGGTCTGGTGAGAAGCACTCAGTGTTTGTCATCACTTTATCAGCGAGGCTGATAGAAATGAGGCTGTTAATTTCATCTTTGGGACTTCATTTGCAATTAAATGGATGGTGATGCCTTGGTTATGGCTTAATTAATAAATTCAATAAACATGAATTAAGGATCTATGATGAGTCAGACACTCTGCTAAGCACTGGCTCCACGGAGATGAATGGCAGGTCTCCGCTCTCAAGAATTTCATAGTTTAGTAAGAGACGAACATACGTCAACAGATATTTATAACGCCGGGGGGAATTGCTACAGAATAGGTTTGCTTAAGGGACTGTGAAAACCCAAAGGAGAGAGCAAGAATCCATGCTTGCTGATTTTAAGGATGCAAACAAAATTTCCAAAGAGGCAGAGGAAAGCTCTCCAGGCAGAAGTATTACGGGTGCAAAGACACAGGAGCGTGATGAGTCGGGAAGCCATCCCAGAGCAACGTGTACATCTCAGTGTGTCTGCGATATGGGCTCTGTGGTGGGGAATTGGGTCAGACTGTGAAAGCCCTTTTATACCAGCTCAGGAATTTGGGCTTTATGGGGTACCCACAAGAGCCGGAGGAGAGGGTTTTTTTGTTTGTTTGTTTCTTACGTTTCATTTATTTTTGAGAGAGACAGAGAGCAAGCAGGGAAGGGGCAGAGAGAGAGGCAGACACAGAATCCGAAGCAGGCTCCAGGCTCCGAGCTGTCAGCACAGAGCCCGACGTGGGGCTCGAACTCACAGACGGCGAGATCATGACCTGAGCTGAAGCCGGATGCTTAATGGGCTGAGTCACCCGGGTGCTCCGACCGAAGGAGACTTTTAACACACGGAGTACCATCGTCCTGCTTGCCCTTTCAAGAACGTAGCCTTTGGTCTGGGTCTGCCTGGGGTGCGAGGATGGGCTACACAGGAGAGCTTGGGGAATCAAACGGATGGAAAAGAGAAGCTGGGATGCTTTTACTTTTTAAAAGACCTTTTCTATGAAAACAAAAAATACAGATTTTAAATAGCTACACATAAATATCAACTGCATTGGCTGCATATGTGAGCAGGAAACCATTTAGAGAGTAAATGGCTTAAGGGCCACTTCTACGTGCTCCATTAATGTTTAACCACACCCTTGCATATTTAACCTGATCTTCTCCTGGGCAAGGGTAGAATTACTCCATGTTAAAACTTTCTTGCACCAAAACCTGAAGGTTTGCCCACAGCCCATAGTCCAGGGTTAACCAACTTCCTTCCTGTCTTGGACGTATTTTCTATGGCATTCGTGACAGTGACCGTCGGTGGAGGTGAGGAGGGTGGCATCCCAAGTGTAAAGCATCCCAGGAGGCTTTCCAGGGCGCGCCAATACCCCATTTGAGTCCCCAGAGTCCGAAATCCCATCCCCAGCTTTGCAGATCCCCAAAACTAATTTCCTCGGTGTTCCAGAGTTAATGGAGTTCAGAAAGGCTGAGCTAACAAAATTTTGCCCATTCTTTCATTTGCCCTGAGAAACGTAACTGCCGGGGGGAGCAGTTACTCATGTCCTCCAGCCCAGCTGGCACATTTACTCCGTTTTGACATTTGCGCAAGAAGCGAAATCACAGCTTGAAGGCTGCGTGGGGAGATAGATGTATGCGCACGTAATTGATGCACCAGGTATGGCTGCCTGATGCCCCCATGTCCCTCGAAGGAATTTTCCTACCCATATGCCTGGGCAGCCCCCATCTCCCGGTTGCAGTTCAGCCCAGTTGTAGACAAAGCCTTAAGGAGAAACTATGATCTGAGGGGCTCACAGAATTTACCGTAGAAACTGAGAGGTAGTGGGCAATATCCAGCCTCCCAAAGTAAATCTGATTGAATCGGTCCGGAGTTCCGACAGCAATCGTTTCACTCTTCAGTCAACATGTGTCTGGCGTGTTCGAAGTGCCAGGCATCACATGCTGCATCAATAAACGAGACAAAGACTCTGTCAGGAGACTCAGAATTCGGTAGGAAGCAGACCCATTGGCTTGTGATGACCATGCAGGGTAATGTCTGCTGTGATGGAGGCTTGTTCTAGATACGGTGGGAGCCGGGACCAACAGCCCTAGTCCTGCCTGGGGGTCCAGAAAAGCTGCACAGAGGCCAAAAAGCTTAAGCTCACACTACTTCAGTATCTGGTTTTCACAGTGAAAGAAAATGCCATTTTTATGACGACGGTATTCCCGAGAATATAATTATTATATAGGAAATTGCTATTAGCCTTGCGGTGTGTTTCTTTTTATGTTTAGGCATTAAGATTTGTGAGATTAAATGTGGAGTCCTACAGGGTCGTGCAGATTTCATTTAGCATGGTAACACGAGACAGTTAAAAAAAAATGACTGCTTGGTATCCTATCCTCTGGATATACCATTGTTTATTTAACTAAACCCTGTTGTCAAACATTTTGGTTATTTTCTCTTTTCTTTCTCATTTATTAAAAAAATTTTTTAATGTTTATTTATTTTTGAGAGAGAGAGAGAGACAGAGACAGAGAGGGAGCAGAGGAGAGGCAGAGAGAGAGGGAGACACAGAATCCGAAGCAGGCTCCAGGCTCCGAGCTGTCAGCACAGAGCCTGATGAGGGGCTTGAACTCACAAACTGTGAGATCATGACCTGGGCCGAAGTCCGATGCTTAACTAACTGAGCCACACAGGCGCCCCTCTTTTTTTAAAAAATTTTAAATCATGTTTTTATTTGTTTTGAGAAGGGGGGGAGAGATAGCAAGCAGGGGAGGGGCAGAGAGAGAGAAAGAGAGAGAGAGAAACCCAAGCAGGCTCCATGCATCAGGGCAGAGCCTGACGTGGGGCTTGAACTCATGAACTGAGAGATCACGACCTGAACCAAAATCAAGAGTTGGACGCTTAATGCATTGAGCCACCCAAGCACCCCAAACATTTTGGTTATTTTCAATCATTCTCTATTATCAATAAAACCTTAAAATGAGAGGACCTAAGAGATTATGTGATAAGATCCTCTCACTTTGCCACTGAGGGAACTGGTTCCAGTGGGTTTAAATGATTTTTCCCCAAGTCCTATAACAGCTGGGTCTGGACTTCTGATGAAATTCATTCTGGGCTGGAAGGGGGAAGAGGG